TGAAAGTGGAAAAGAGAAAGAAAGAAAGTGTGTGTGTATGTGTGTTTGTTTGTTTGAGAAGGATGAGGAGAGTAGCATTATAAGCGACCAAGGTAGGCACGAGGAACCAACAACGGTCTCTCCGCGTTGGGATACTGAAAGGTGAGGGGTTTGGGGGATGAGAGAAGAGGCAAGGTGACGACAGCGAAAACTAGTTTATTTGGGACGCGGCTATAAATTAGGATCAGATCGCCACGAGATAAGGGAGTACCGGCTAACACCCGGCTCCCTCCGAAAAGGATGCTTCTTTCTTTCTTTCTTTCTTTCTTTCCTTCTTGTTTGCTTTTTATCTTTTTCTCTTTCTTTCGTTCTTTCTTTCTTTCTTTCTTTCTTTCTTTCTTTCTTTCTTTCTTGACTTTTGCCATCCTACGAAAGCAACAACGTCCACCCCAATCCACGACGAGTTTTGCGTTGCAGAAGCCGACTCTTAGGAAAAGATTCAAGCGAATCTTCGTCGTCACCTCGTTTCGCTCGAGATCTCTAATGTGAAAGGTGAGACAAGGCCGATCTTTGTCCACTTTCATCCTGTTAACGTCTACCAACTGATCTATGTTATTGTTGGAATCATTTTTTTCATTCTGGTAGAACTGAATGTGGTATACTTAGGTTATGTTGATTTGTTTTTCTTTGAGATTTGTTTTGACATTTTCTTTTTTGGGAGCCAGATATATTTTTTGTTCGTTAAGTATACTTGGAATGTTTATTTATTTTTTTATTTTATGTGTTGGTAATTTTTATTTGATGATATTGAAATGTTCTTATGGTTTATAATATGAGGTTTATTAGTGTATGTTTTTTTTTTGGGGGGGGAGGTTAATTTTGGGAATCTTTTATTAAATTTATTTGATATTAATTTGGTTGAAATTTATTTCGATTATTTAAGATTAAATTGATACCCAATTGAAAGGTTTTGAGGTTATATTAAATACAGAAAATAATTTAACTAATGTTTATTAAATAGAATCCAAATATTTTCATTGGTTTTATATTACGGAGTTTATTTAATGTTATCGATATTTGATTTTATCAATTTCTGTAAAATATAATTAATTAATAAATATGTTCAAATGTACAACTATTTATCTTTGCATGTTTGTATTACTAATGGGAGCATTTGGAGGTTATATTATACATATTACAAAAAATGTTTATTTAAAATTCAATAAATACAATTTAATTAAATTATTTTTAATTGATTCGATGAAAAATCAAAGTAATTTTCTCTGCTAACCAATCTTTCGATCAAATAAATCAACTTATATTGATTTCTTTTCTAATTTCATTTCATTTCGAAAGACTTCGTTTAAATTTCTAAAAGTATCTCGTAGATTTCTTATTCTGGATTTTGGAATGCATCAAAAAGTAATTTATTTTCTAACTCATAGTCAATTGGAATTGAACTGAATCAGATAACCCCTTTCGAAACGATGTAGAAGACTTGACTTTATGGGAACTTCTCGAGAGGTTTGGGAAAAGACGAACGGCTAGAGTAAACCCTGGAGATGAGAATATCGTCCTATCGTTTGTAAGGAAACGAGAGAACAATTCTTACGATTCTCTCTTTTCCACTTCGCAATTTTTCTTTGAATTTACTTAGATTCCTCTTGATTTACATCCCATGCATTTATATTTCCTTTAGTTTTTTTTCTTTTTTTTTTGTTAGTACATTTTAAATAGCAGATGGATTATTCATTTGTTATAAATATATATTGATTTTGATACATTCATTAATTGGATTTTTCTACAAATATTCTTTGAATTTTTAAACAACTAAAATTTTCATACAATATTGGTTGTTTAAACATAAAATACTGCAATTTCTGATTTCAGTAATTGGACAATGTAAACATTTCATTCTTTATAGTACGGAAAAAATAAAATAAAACTCTTTTTTTATTATTTTTTTATTGAAAATAAAGTTTTTATTTCATTTTACTTTTTATTGGTATAAAAATATATGTATTGTAATTTATAGAAAATCAAAGTTTTGAATAGTTGTAAAACAGTTTTATCAAACTTTTTGAATATAGCAGTCAGATGCTGAAAAATCAAAACAGTTTAGTACATCGTTAATGAATTAATCAACTATTTAAAAACAAAGTTTCAAAGAAAAAACATTTAAATGTAACGTGAATTATTTATCATTCAATTGTTCATTCAATAGAAAAAAAAAGTAAATTAAAATAATCCTATACAATTTATGTTCTTTAACGGCTAACTTCATACTAACGAAATCTCATTAACAACTAACTTCATGCTAAAGAACTCTAACGGCAAACTTCATGCTTCTGTTGCAATATGCGCGCGCAACTAAAATCACATTCTCTCTCTCTCTTTCAATGCGCGTTAAGAAGTTTAAACTTCAAAAAATATTGGAATAACGGAACGTCGAATGACAGGAACCAGAAAAAGATAGAAATAAAGAAGAAAAGAAAGAGAAAGAAAAGAAAGCACAGTACGTTTTCAAATCCGATCGTCTTTCGACGCTTCGAAAGGTATCTGCTTCGTGAGAGGATAGAAGAGTTGAAGAAGAAGAAGAAGAAGAAGAAGAAGAAGAGTGGAAAGGTGAGGTGAAGAGAGTGTTGGTCCAGCCAGCCGCTGAAGTCGTTCGTTCGGTTACTAACGCGACAGGTTGAGGTGTGTCCGAGTATAGTGTTCCCAAGCGTTACACGCACGCAAGGACCTACGCGTGTATCATGCGTGTGTAAGAGAAGGACGAAGCTAGTTCAGGACGGTGATTCCATTCACTGATTGAAATCTCCGTTCATTTGTCACTGTCAAGAAGGTGGCGAGAGACTCTTTCTCTCTCTTTCTCTTTCTTTATTTCTTTTTACCTTTTTTTTCTTTCTTTCTTTCTTTCTTTCTTTCTTTCTTTCTTTCTTTCTTCTTCTATTTCTTTTTATTTTTTTCTCGCCCTCGATCGACTGCCCACGCGCTACTCAATACCCAACACACAAAACTGGCTATTATTATTTCAACGGGAGAATCTCAGGCTAACGACCAATCGACGGCTCACACACAGGGATATTAATTCTTTATCGATCGTAGTCGCGTCCACTGTTGTTGTTGTTGTTGTTGTTGTTGTGTTATGTGTCCTTAGTATGATTTTTTTTTGAGGTCCTACGAGAGGTAAAATTGACATGACCAAATGATAATATGAATCGGGTTTGTTGTCAGAGTTTCTAAGTAAACAGAATCCAAGTTCTCGTTTTGAGGTCTCTTTCTTTTTTTGGGATTAACCTTTTAGGTACGGCTGTTTCTCTGTACGACAGGGTTTAACGAGAATTAACGATAAGACTACGATTTGTGATGAACAAAAGCTCTGTTCTCTACTCGAGTAAATTTTAATCAAGTTTTTCATGATTAAATTATAATTTTTTTCAAAGAAATGATACACACATACTTTACTTCAACAATTTACTTTGATAATTAACAGGTTGAATGCCACAAGGGTTACCGGTGACCGGCACTTAACTTAGCTGTGACGCCATGGGGGCCACCGGTGATCAGAGTGCTTAGATTAATAGAAATATATTTCACATCGTGGCGTCACTGACAATCGCCACTGCCAAATGAATTGGAAATCTTTCGCTAAGTAAAAAATAATAAAAATAATAATTGTTGGTCAATGATGCTAATAATAAACGATTATTTATTCGTTATCGATGGTCCTCCTCAGTTGTGCTCAAGTATGATTTTAATGTTACGAAAGTAGAAGGAAAAATCTTTAAAACGACAAAACGAATGAGTTTCATATGACGGGTTTTAAAATAAACAGAATCCAATTGTTCGTGTTTAATATCTAACGATGTTCACATCCCTTTTTTTCTGAACCTTGTATAATCCAATTATATTTTGAAGTGAAGAAATTTTTGTCCAAAGATAATTTTATTCAAAAATTTATACCAGACAAACGTCAGTTATTTATTATCTTATTCTTTAGATAGAATAAAAGTTTGTCTGAAAATATAACGTTGAAACTTTACATCGATTGATAAGAAAAAAATAAATCTTGGTCAATGGTGCTAACAATAAATAAATGTTTATTCTTTATTGATTGTGAATAGTTACAATTGTTTTATTTTATTTTTATTTTTTTATTTTTTGTTGCTCTCTCATTTTATGTTAAATTTTTAACGAAACAAAGTAGATCTTGAAATGATCATAAGACTTATTACTAAATTAAACAAATAATAAGTGTCATATTATACATATATATATATATATATATATATATATATATATAATTCAAATTCTTATTATTTGAAGAATTTTTGTTGAAGTGAAAACTTCTTTAGAATTAGGATGATTTAAAATGGATGAAACAATGAAACAAAAAAGTGATGAAATACTACGACACTAAAAAGAGAAAAAGAGACAAACATATCATTTATAAAAGTAAGCAAATCCTACAATTAGCCTACTTTTGGTACTGTACATTCGTCTCATTCTCTCGAAGCTTAGTTTTTTGAAGGTTTCACTTCTAACACGTGTGACTTGCACACATGATATTTTTGTTTTTCTAAAATCTCATAATGTCTACAATAACAAAATGTGCAATATGATATTTCGAGCTTTGGGATTACATATTACAATATATACAATTTTATTAAACTACATTAATTATTATTTAGACTTAACAAAAATATTAAAAACTTCACGCATGAATTATCGATTAATCTTATATTAACAAATTAAAATAAGATTAAAGCTCTCTCTAATATACATGTATTTCAAGTTTTCAACTTTGAAATAACATGATATTATGGAGTGTTAACATTGCACAGCTAATTTCACTAGCAAGGATTAATCGCTCGTGATTAAAATGATTACACGGAATGTAGGATAAAACGTAATCGAGTATGGTCAATAAAGCGTTAATAAATTGTCCCAATGAGATTGCTGGTCGTTTAAATATAACCTACGACCCTATCGATTGTACGTTTCCGTTGAAAACTCACCTTGAGAGAAAGCGTCGATTTTCCTGTATCATTTTAGGATGTTTTTTAAACCGGCGAAACGAACCCACTACCCATAGATTGTGATCTGAAACACCATGAAAATAAATTTAATCTTACTTGAAATAACAATCCAAGTAGGGAAAATAATTAGGGACAAAAATATAAGACATACATACCCTTTGTAGAAGGGTTTGAACGCTGTGGTAGCTTCTGTTGGTGGTAAACTGGCAGTGGTTTGGTGTTGATGAAGAATGGAATTTTGTCCCGCCGGTGAGAAGTCCTTGTGCGGTGAGCTTTGCAATCTCGATGCAAAGGATGATGCACCACCAGCGGATCCAGACGTAGCAGATAAATAACCTCCAGCACCAGGATGAGTGGTTGCGTAATGATTAGGATTCCCATTACTCGTCTGATTGGTATTCCCAGTAGGGCAATAGCCTGCTGGTGGTGGTTGGATCACCCCATTCGGAGTAGCCACCTTCATATTGGGTGGTGTCTGAGGTGGGGTATCCGTACCAACTTCTGGAAACCCCGCCGCAGCGGAAGAGGATGCAGATGATGTGTTACCAGACGAGGAATTAGGATTGTAATGAAGTTGGCCACCGGATGATGTTGAAAGGAAACCACCGTATCGTGCAGCCGCAGTGGAATAAGGTGCCGTCGCTGCTGCCGAGGGACTCATGGAAGCTGAAGAAGGTAATGCAAAAGAGGAACCCAAACTTCCACTTCCAGCACCCCCACCGCCACCGCCGCCACCTCCTCCTCCACCACCACCACCTCCACCTGGTCCTAACCAAGGTTGTTGCGAGTGATGGTGGTGTACTTGATTTCCAAGGTGATGTTGTTGTTGAGCATAATGCTGTTGATGATGTAGATGATGGTATTGTTGATGATGTGGATGAGAAGGTGGTGGAGGTGTTTTACAAGCGGCCGTGTCCGCCAGCGACCAAATTTTCGGTTTAGTCGCTGGAATTGGTACACCACCTCCACTGCAGTCCGTTTTAATACCCTCTTCCTTCATATGCTCCTCCGTACCATAACCCTGATGATGATGATGATGATGATGTTGCATCGTATGATGAAAAGGAAGTTCTCGTCCTCGCGGATCCTCCTCCAAATCGAGATCATCCTCATCGTCAAGGTCTTTTTCGTGTTGCATGTGTTCCGCTTTGACGTGTCTCATTGGTTCTGTCAAATAAATCAATTAACTTCATTTCAATAAATAAATTAACACCAACAAATACATCAGAATCATCTCCTAACCTACTTATCTTAAGTAATATTCTCGTTAAATATGATGAAACAGTTAATGGGATTTAGACACGCGTATAATGCACCGAGTATCATCGTTAATGGTTTATAATCCCTGGTGTGAAAGTGAGACATAAGAGAAGTAAGAGGACGAGTCATCCTGCGGGGCTCGCGTGTTTCGGAAAGGGTCTTTCTCCTAACGCACCCTTATATAGTAAAGCTGTAAGGGATGCTGTGAAAAAAAAAGTAGTAGGGAGTGAAGCCTTCAACCACTTTGGGCGCGAGAGATTTCTACTTTCCCTTGAGGCACCGAACCCGACCCAGAAAAAGACAGAATGTTAGAGAAAGAGTGTGCGTGTGTTTGTATGTGTATTAGAAAGAGAAAGGGAATGAACGAGTGAGACAAGGCATCTCTCTTTTCTCTTTCTTCGATCCCTCTCTGAACTCTCTCGGGGCACTCTAGGATCGTCTCTGCTGTCTGTGCCAGCTAACCATCCAGCCATCGAGCCAAGCCAGTCAGTCAGGGGTGAGAATTTCATTAAGAGGTTCGAATGAGTCGGCAGAGGGTTTACTTGATGGGTCGTCAAGCGATAATTCCCAAGCTGGAAAGGGGCTGCCGTTGCTACTGCTGCTGCCACTACGAAATGAGAGACAACGAGAGCAAGAGAGAGAGAAACGCAAAAGAGAAAGTGAGATGAAGCTTAGGGTGCAAGCACCCCCTTATAAAGAGAACCTTATGGGGCAACTAAATAGATACTAACGTCGAGTCCACAAGTGGCTCTTTAACTTTTGACCCTCTTTTATCAGCCGTTAATCTCATAATCTTCGCGCCAGGCCGACTGATATCTCGATCGGGAGAATTTTCATTCAACTAACTCGAATCGTTTGTATCGTAAACCAAACTATTATTATGCATACACGTGATACCACCGGGGGTTTGTAGATGTATACAATTTTAACGTAAGAGAGATTTATTTTCTACGTTGGATTCCTTTTTTTCTTCTGGGGAAGGTTAGATCGTTAAATGTTTTACTGGCGAATAAAAAGATTTAATTCGTACTTATACCAAGTTTATTTAGATTCTTTTAGATGTTCATCATTGATTTAATCCGAGTATAAAGGAAGTTAATCTAGTTAATAAAATACATTCTCTTGAATGTTCAGATAGAGTATTTTTTTGTGTGTGTGTGCTTTACTCTGTTGAAGAAAAACGTAACGGTTGACTAAATTTAACGATACATAACGTTGGTTTTATGCCAGCATGGGTAAGCTTTAAAAAAGAGAGTACCCCAGCCCTCCCCCTCCCTTCCTATTTCCCCTTCGTCAAATATATCCTAGTATAACTCGCGAAACTTTTCAACCCTCTGGTAGCTACTACTACTACTACTACCACTACTAAAGGCACGTGCTTAAAGTGACCACTACTACTTTACGGGGTCCGGTGGTAGTATCACAGGGCGTAGAAATTCATGAGCACCAAGGATAGTCTTCTTCTCTCCCCCTTTTGAATTTCCTACTACTCAAAAGCCACTATAAGCATGAGCGTGTAGGACAACGATCTCGAGTAGTCTGCAAATATTTGCTCGCACGTTTACCGGCTAAGGTTTCTCATTAATTATCGCCATAGCCAGACTATCTTACTTCTCGGAATTACCTACTCATTATACTCATCGTTTATTCTCATTTCTCCTTCTTCTTCTTATTTTTCTTTTTTTTTTTTTTTGCTTAATTAATAATCCCCCATTAAGTTCATTTATTTTACTTTGGAATATTCTTATCTTTGGGGTAAGTAAATGTGACGGTGAATGGGGGAGAATCAAATATTTTTTCATTTTTTCTGATAATCAGATTAAATGAGAACATGTGTATTTGTATTAATCTCAGTTTTTATTAAACTTGATTATTTGTGATAAGATACGTGTCAATGTGTAAGTGAATTACATTAAATGATCTAATGAAAATTTAAAGTATGTCTTAGTATAAATGTATAATCCAGCAAGTATTTAAAAAAAAAAAAAAAACTCTTTAAATTAATTGCATAGCAATACTTGAAAAGTACATGTCAATTAATAATTATAAATCTGATTTATATTTTCAATGTATTAGATTATCTAGAAAGTTCATGTTGATTAATATTATTAATGTAAAATACACTACGTTCAAAACTGTCCTTAATTAACAAAAATATTAAATTAAATATCAATATCAATCATTCAAATAACTGCAATTTTTCTTCGCATAATCAAATACACTTTATTGGATAACATTAAATTAAATAAAAATGTATAAATCCTCAAGTACAATTCCCAACAATCCTTCCCAGAAATAAACAAATCTAAAAATTGGTAAGACACAGCGTGTCCCATAAAACCCTGAGAATTGGGTTTGGTCAAAAAGTTCGTGCCCATGATATGATTAAAAAAAAGACTAAATACATTGAAAATATAAATTATTCCCCACTTTCTAGAACCAATCCCAAAACTGATTAATATTTGAAAAAAGAAAAAAAGAAAAAAAGAAAAAATAAATAACATATTAGATACAAGTTGATCATATTATTCCTGTATCGGTAAATCAAAGCACATGAATGAAGAGATTTTTCCCAAAATCACGTAACTCCTATGGAAGTGTCGTGTTATGGGGTAGAGAGGGACTCGTGAAGCAGCCGGACGATACCTAGATGATCGGAACAGTATGGGAGAAAGAGAGAGAGAGAGAGAGAAATAGATAGAGATAGATAGATAGAGAGTTAGAGAGAAGGACAGCAGGAGAGCCGATATTGGCCAATGTGCGGTGGGGTAATGGTGGCCATAGGAGGGTCCGTACCATTCGTCTCGCCGCGGGCGCCGATACATCACCGTACCTCGAACCACTGCTGTCGTCCCATGTATATACCCCACACTTATAAACACACGCACATACTATATATATTCCTAAGTACATAGAAGTTTATACATATATACTATATAGTATATATAGACATATAACATATAGATACTGAGAGCTTGTGGCACGTAGCATACATGCTCCTATGGATGGCTACTCAGCCTGGCCGCACCCTCACCAACACAACAAAACTTCACGGATAGAGAGACCCGACTAGTAGATACGTGAGTGAGTGAATGCGTGCGAGTTAGTGCGCGCGCGCAAAGTCCTGCTCGTAGCTACGACGACACCCGGAGTAACGTTACCGTACGGCCCGTTCGCTTCCACTATGGTATATAGGGGAATGAGGAGTGTAATGGTGGAAATGGTAGGTAGGGGAATACAGAGTAAGAGGGGTCTTGGGGGTGGGGAAGGAAGGGGGGTTGAGGATGGAGGACCAAACCGAAGGCCATTAATCTCTTTGCGCGGCAACCCGCAACCCGTCACTGTGTTTACCCACATGTGAACTATTATGTCCGCCCCCACGATATAGTGTGCCTCTCGTGTCCTGTTCACTCTTACATTGGACTCCCGCGAATCGTCTAACCCAAAATGCTTCTCTCGCGCGGGCACGCACGAGAATGAGAAAGAGTTTTCTTTCTAACAGGACTAGGGGAAGGGGGATGAGATTTATTGCGAAAGAGATAAAATAGAAAGAGAATAAGGAGAGTGGTGGTGGTGGTGGAAGAGGGTTGAAGGGTTCTTAGGAATAGGTCGTACGTGTTAGAAATTAGAGATAGAATAAGAAGGAACACTAAAGGTGGCACGGAATTTGTTACATTTCGTGACTCGCATTAGTCCAATTAATGGGATTGAACAATTTATTCCTACATATGGTATTTTGTTTGTTTGTTCCATTCTTATGCAATTATTTAGACATTGTAATTAGCGGGACGATTAGGATCGCGAGTTTTTAACGTGTAATAGTTGAAACTTAGTTAACGTAGCAACTCCATTTCAGTTCTTATTAACATTCCGTTTTAAGTTCAATTGATGGGAGAGGGGGGTTATAGAAACGTTTGATTTTGTTGAGAATAGGTGAACACTATTGAATACAAGACGTTCCAAACATACTATTGGACATATACTCTGGGATTTAAGATAGTTTTACCATCTATGGATGAATCCCGTTTACTCTGGTTTGAACCTATTGCTCTAAGCTACTTCTTCTTCAATCTCGTACTCGATCTACTTGAAAGAAAACCGTTTCTCGATTCAGTCAGTCTTTAACCATATAGGGTGAGGTCGTACGAGAAATTCGTTCATTGTAGGAACGGAATGGATGCTTGCGCAATATCTGAAACGGAGACCGATGGGTACTCGATATCAGGGAAACTAGTCACGCGAGGTAAACACGCTACCCGACATTCCGACTCGAAGGAGATCGCGAATTCTCTTCTCTTTCTGTCTCTGTTTCTGTTTCTGTTGCTTTCTTGTGTGTTCAACAAATGCTAATTCAAAATGATATAACGGGTCGTGGTTTCGAGTAGCACGCGAAACGTCGGATCGAATGATAGTTACTCTTCGAAGGATACGTACGTTCTGTGTTACGAGTTTGTTATAATTTACTTTCCTAGGATTATTTCCATTGACTTTTATCATGGTATTTGATTTACTAAAGACTGGTCAAATTTTGAAATTTAAGACGTATAATACTAATTGATCGTAACGTATTAAAGAACAGTAGTACTGTTGTTTGATTTATTCAGTGGTCAGATATATGTTTTCATGTTAATACTTTACTTATATTGAGTGATTATTTGATTTCAAATGGGATTAGTTTATGTTTGAAATATAAAGATGTATGGAAACAAATGTATTATTCAATGGACATGTATAATTTACTGATTGATTCTTTGATTTACATTAGAGAGGTTATGTTTGAATTTAAAGAGAACTTGGAAACAAATTGGATTTAATTTGTGCAAAACAAGATATTGTCAGATATTTATCCGTGTAAATAATAGCTATTTTGATTTAAATGAATAATTTAAAATGGGGGACCTGATAATTATTATCATTAATAAAATTTTTCCTTGTTAAATAACAACTATAAAAATTCTACAAATTCTGGACACTTTTGCGTTAAGAACCTGGAATCTTTAATCTTATGTAAACAATTACTCTTCAATTTACATAACTAATTAATTATAGTCATCATTAAATATGATCCTGTAAAATTGATATTTCTTGATATCTTTTTATGTCAACATGGAATACTATTGTAACTTCTAAATCCCTGGTCAATCCTGCTGATATCATCAGTCTTTCTTTTTAAACGATTCATTTGATCAATCCGATTTACTATGTAAATTGACCCAACTTCAATAACGATTAATGGATTCATCCAATTAAGCTTGACTCGTTACACAGATTAAATCCAATTTCAATATTCCAAATATAACTGAAAATTGTTCAATCATCGATATATCAATTTAGGGTTAACAAGCTTGATTTACTGTGAATATGGGAATATTTCAACTCATCAAATTATTGGGATACGAAAAGAGTAGATTTCAAAATCTAAAATCCCAAATGTTTACTCTTAAATTTATTAAGTTTAATGAGAAATCTGTTTTTACTTTCTGCACAATCATAATTTTAACATCTTAGGTCTTCTTTAAACAATTAATTTAATTATTTTACATCCCTATGCAAATTAATTTAAATTCATCAACGACCAGTAGATTTATCACATTAAATTTGACACATTAAATTAATTAAATCTAACTTTAATATAAGGTTAAAGGATTTTCAAAAGGTTTCCAAGTAATTTTAAACAATTATTACTCATTTATTTATACATAAAACAAAATGATTTGTAAACGTTCCAATAATTATTGGTCCCCCACAATTTTAATTTTATCTCCAATACCTTAACAACTAGTTGAACAAACATCTTAGGCTACTGTCCAATCTTATATGATTCCAAATAATCCAATAATTAATGTTTCAATTCACAATTAACATATTCCATTAACAATCACAAATAATTATAATACTTGCACGTTATACATTTAAGAAAAAAACCGATTAACGTTCTAAGATTTGACCCTAATTTTTAAATTCCAATTTCCACTTACATAACCTCAAAAACTATTCTTTTTAAATCACTATAGCATAATATTGTATTATCATCATTTGAACTAAATAAAATATGTACAAATCTTACCGTTATCATCAAGGCCTCTCCTCGCATCATCGCCAACTCTGTCCCCTCGATTATCATTGGCAAGTTCGTCTTTGTCCTTGTTATCCTCCGAATCCGTGAGGACAGCATCATCATCGTCATCCGTTTTATTTTTCGGTTCCCAAGTCATTTTATTTTCTTTCTTCAAACGTCTTCGTGCGTTAGCGAACCACGTTGATACTTGGGTCAACGTCATCTTCGTTATTATCGCCAACATAATTTTTTCACCTTTCGTTGGGTAAGGATTTTTCTTGTGCTCGTTCAACCAAGCTTTTAAGGTCGCCGTTGATTCCCTCGTCGCATTTTTTCGTCTCGCTGCTAAATCGTAACCTGCACCGTATCTGTAAACATATGGTTCCCTTTTATCATCAAAAATAAAAGGAACGAAAATTATAATTGTAGATTAATATTTGAAACATTTTAGTGAGAAGTGCGTTCAACAATTGCAATTGCTGAGGATGAAATGATTTTATTGTTAATGTGAACTATTTTGATGAAACGCATATATTCGCCCATAGTGTTCAAAAGGATTAATAACATGTATTTATAGGTGTGGATGAGTATGTAATACTTTTTTGGGTGTTTGTGTATTTGTTTAAGATTTGATGAAGTTGATTAGTAAATCTGCTGTTCATTTGTTTATAGAACAAATTAAAACAAAAACAAAATTAAAACGAAAAACAGATTGCACAAGTTAACTAAAAAATTAACAAAATATCAACATAACTAAAAACATTACCCAGAGCGATTGTTTAAATAAAAAAAACCATAACTTATTCATACATTAATGTCCAAATAATTTAGATAGTCACTGTATAAAAGCTTATTCTCTATAAATAAGAAAAAAAAATATCCTTGATGTATATATATATACATCTATATATACACAAACTATATATCAAACAAGGAAGAGAGAAGGTTTGCGGAAAAGTGGCGTAACTTTTGGAGGGGTGAGAATTCCCCGCAGATTTTGACGGTGAAATTCCGTAGGCTTTTCCTAGACGCGTTAGGCTCACCCTTCGAGGTAGGTAGGAAGCGTCGCAGGAGTCTTCCACGCACCCTCTTCCAAAGAGAAACGGTGAAAAAGAGAGAGAACGACATATTCTATCGGTGAACGAAGTAAGGTATAGGGTGGGGGAGTTAGGGGTGAGCCTGGAGGAGGTCGAAACTGATACTCTGGTAAATATATACGGAGAATAAACCCCCGAACGGTGGCGTGATTCCATCGAGCACCCTCGGTGCTCACGCGCTCAGTTCGCTCGCTCGCCATAATGGCGATTCGATCGATCTCCTCCTCCTCTTCCTCAACCTCCCTTCAACCCTCCTCTACCTTTCTCTTCCTCTTACTCTCGCCCACTCTCATTCTCTCTCTCTCTCTCTCTCTCTCTCTTTCATACACATTCTCTGGAGTAAACCATCCCAACCCCCATGAGGAAACGACGCGAATGTGTTACAGAGTGCTTGCTGTATAATACATATACAGATATAGTATCAAACCATTATATACTAAGGGCTAAAATACCTATCGACGATCTATCCTGCTAGTGAAACGAACCGGCCGTTGCATGTGTTATAGTAGTAGTAGTAGTAGGGGGGTACTATAGTAGTGAGAAACACATCTACGCAAAACCCCGAGAACGATATTTCGCCAGGGACCGTAACGAACCTTGGATCGTTCGATGGACGTCACAAAAAAAAGACCCACGAAATTACGACTCATCGATTACAAAAAAAATATATATATATATGTATATTGGTATACAGGTACCACTGATCTGATATTTTTACCATTAAAGCTAACTTTTAGGTTGTATTTTTGGTTTTTTGATGTTATATCTTTTGTAATTTAACTCTTTGAATGGTATGGGCACAAAATAAGTAATATGCGTTGACTGAGGGCGCATGTCTGAACTTAGCAAATTTTGTCGACCTTTCTTGACTTGAAATTATAGAAAAATCATTCAGTTTCCTGGTGATTGCAATTGTTAGGTGAGCTTCGTATTCAAAAGGGTTCATTTTAATACACTTAAACTTTCAGATTTTGAATTCTTTTAGAAAGAAAACAAAATTGCAATAGGTCTTCGTTCGTCACACAATTGAATAAACTTGATGATACACAAATACACTGTTTTATTAAACTTTATACTAATTTTTATGAAACTCAGTATGAATTAATCGTATTATAACACAGTTCAGGTAAACATTGTTTAAACAAATGTATGATTTAAATTTGTATTATTATGAAGAGTATAGATTTTAATGCGAATTCCCATCTTGTGTTTCTTTAGATCTTGTTTTGAAATTTCCTTCTTGTTCTTGTGGCTTATCAACATTCGAAATCTTTCTCCTCCAAAAATAGTTATGCTTTCCAGGAAGACACACTCACAAACTGTTTTAGCAAAAGAAGAAGAGGACTCTTTTATAAGAGGCACGCTTTGCTTTCTTATATTCAAATGGAGATGTTCCTCTTCCTCTTTATACTACGAACACTACCACTTCTCTCCTCCCTTCTCTTTATGATCCTTCCCTATCGGATCCGATCCAACTGGGTCGACTGTAACAAATGTCCCGATGAGATCTCTCTCCTTTTGTACCGTTCTCCTGTCTTCAAACCCAACACACTTTTACTATGCTTGATCATTGTATCATTCCCTGGTCTTTTGATATTTAACTGGTTTAAAGGTTCCGCAAATTTGTTATCAGTTAAACTAAAGAAATTGATTTATTGTTTGAGGTTTTAGTGGATTTGTTAGTTTTAGGATTTCTTGTTTATGAATCATGACCACAATTCAAACCTAATGTTTGATTATTGTATCATTGTTCAGGTATTCTTTTTGTCTACATTAAATTAGCCAAGTTGTTAATTATTGTATTGATTCACTTGTTAATTTTATTAGGAAGCTAAATGTACAGATTTATGTAATTTGTGATTAATTTTGTTATCAGTTATGTGATTCACAATACAATAAAATAATTGAGCTAGTTAAGTTCAAATTTTGTATTTGCTTTTTATGATTTTTGTGCAAATTAATTCTAAAGAAGGTAATATTTAATGTTTTTAACATTTATGTTATCAAATTGATCATACACTTTAAGCAAATAATTGGATTAATTCAGTAAAAGGATATTATTTGATTTTTAGGTTATCTTTTCAATTAATTCTAAAGAAAACAAAATTAAGATTAATTAGAGTAGGTGTTGTTGTCAAACGAATGAAAGAATTTGGTCAATTTGTGATCATTCATTTAATAAATGACTTGATCATATTACTTTAACAAAAGAAGTGAGGTTTAATCCAACGAACTCACTGAAATGTTCATTTTCTTTTTTGGAATTTCTTTCCAGTAGTTGATCCAAGAATGACGATTTGATTTCGATGGAAGATTGATAGGAATGAAGGTGGAAACTGTGTAGAAGAAATTGTTCGTAAGATTCGAAAGCTTGAGTGTGCGTTTCACCCTCTATTAAACTCCCCAGGACAAGGGAAAGGCGGCCACCGAGAGAGTAGCGCGTTCTCCTACCAAAGCCAATAAAATCGGCCTCTTTTTTCTCCCGATTCGTTCAAAGTATTTCCTCCTTTTACTCTTCCTGATCTCGCTAGGAAACACTGGAAGAAATGGAATCCTAGTAATCGTTTTTTTCTCAATCGATTTTTCTAGTCATTCCGTCTAGGAATACGGAAATGGAACTAACGGAAAAAGGGAACCAATGGAATCACTCGTTTTCACATTTTCTTCTACTTTTTTTTCGAAGTAGAAGAGAAGTCAGAGTTTTGTTCTGCTTTCTTTTTTTCTTTTCTCTTTTTTTTTTTTTTATTCTTAGAAATCGCGTCCACTGTTTGCACGAGGGGTGACAGAGATCTTGGAATAACAGAGGGTGGATAAGATAAAGATACAAACGTTGGCTGCTAAGGATACGAAAACCTTTCGCGTAGAATAATAACCCTCATACTTTTGCCTCGTCCTTGTGTTGTTTGAAGAACGAAGTACGGGTTTGACATTTTCGAAATTTAACAGACTCGCAATTTTTCCATTTTCTTCTTCCTTAGGTCATCTATGTGATCGGGTATTTGATTTTGAAGATATTATTTGAAAATATTTATGAACTTTGTTGCTACGAGATTTTTGCGTTTAGGTGGATTCTGAATTTTTTATACAAATTGTGCACAAATTAATTCAGCACAAAATGTAGAAATTAATTATGATACCATTTATAAAATAAATTAGAATTAACAATTAACATAATTAACTATACAAAAATATGATAATTGTACATTGCATTTCCTTCAGGTCACTTGTTTCAACATTTTCTAATATTTAATGTAATTTTTCTATGTTAAATATAGGAACATACATTCCACTTTTGTAAATGCATAAATATTGTTCTTATTGTTATTGCCAAAAATAGATAACAATGACATTTAACTGAACTTTATTATTCGGTCCCCATCTATTTGTCTATTGTCACGTCAATTAATTCGATTGTATTAGTCATGTATCATCAAATGTTTCAATTGTCTTTCGTAGAAAGTATGATCCAACAATTATTTTCATTGTTAGTTACATCGATTCATTAGACGGATAATTTTTTTTACTTATCTCTGTTCTCGATTTAAGAATAGAATCGAGTAATGTTAGTATGTCGTGTTAAAAAGTAATAAAGAATTTATTTGCTGTAAAAAAGAATATTATAAGAGAGAGAGAGAGAGAGAGAGAGAGAGAGAGAATTTTAATGATACTTCGACAAATGGTATTTACCTTTTTATAAGTATCACCCTTTATACGATGAATTTAATTTCAAGTTTAATTAGACTTATGTTAAGTAAAATAAAAAAAAAATTGTTAAAGTTTGTTTTACTTTTTAAGTAACATATTTTAAAATATTTATGCTTTACGTTTGGTTAATACGCGTCCATAATTTGCAACAGGATTGTATCAGATAAATGCATAATAAATACTGTCAATTTAAAAAAGACAAAAAAGAAAAAACAAAAACAAATATTCAATAAATAAGGAAAAAGAAAAAAAATACATAATAGTATTTGAAAATGTTCTACTCGATACTCGAATTACTCGTTCTATTTCTCTCTGTTTCGCTCTCATTGGAAATAAGCGGCCATTTCAGGGTTCCCAAAAAAAAAATACGACATTGTTCGCCGTTCGTAGATGCAATCTACGAAGGAGAGAGAAAGAGAGAGAGAGAGAGAAAGCCTTCATTGCTATGCGCAATTTCGACTGGCTGCCTCCCACGTGGCCCCTGGCGTCGTCGTCGTATTCGTCGTAGTCGTCGTATTCGTCGTGGTGCAATTATCCACACACAGAACGACGCCCAACGTCATTTA